TGTAACTCTTGTGAAGCTGGCAATACCACAGAGCCTGCAATAACAAACATGAGCAGAACTGATGGCAAACTGCTTGCTGCTACCTGCAAAGTCATCAGAAAGGGAAAAACCTCAGAAAGGCAGTAATTTCATTTCTACCAAAACCCTGCACTCAGACCTTCAGCCCACCTCAACAGGCACAGATTTACACGGCCTGAGATTCTCCTCAGGGAATCAGGGCTGCCTGATGCAGGAGGAATATATTTGCACTTCAGTAAATCTTCTCTGGTTTTAGCACCCTCTCTTCTGATGTATAACTGTGTTCTGATGTCCCTTTTTTCATGTACTGTGGGTCTTTTCTTAAGAGGCCTTTCCAACTCCTGTCCTTTCCAAATTGATTTCCTGGTACTAGAGAAGAAAAAAATATAGACAATGATCAGAATATACAAAGCACAAGGAAATAGCTGTAGGGTAATTAAAACTATTTCCAATTTCTTTCTTTTTTTTTTTTTAATTTTTTTATTTTATGTACCAATCTGGTTTCTAATAGAACTTTAGTTAAAAGGAAAGACATTCACAGAAAATATTAGGCATACATATACATTGTCCTTCTTTCATTCTAGTTTACATGCTGTTGCTTTTAGAAGGCAAGGTTTCTGTTTCATTTCTCTAGGATGGATAATGAAACCTGATTAACAGAATTTAGCTTCTGCTTTTCAAAAATGACACCTTTTCAGGATCACCATGCTTGCTGGAATGTAATATCGTTCAAGGGAGAAACCGTATTAAAAGCTATTGCTTGTCAAACTGAGATAGCCTCACATTTCAACAGATACACTGGAATTTAGCTGCATCTGCCATTAAAGGACGCTGATTTAATTAAAATGCAATTAAACTGAATTCTTATCGCTACAATAGACTTGTACATATACACCACTGCTTTGGCAGTCTTACTAAAATATTTATGTTGACCATCCTTTCACATACACCATGCTACCTAAAGCATGATATTAAATGCTGCCATACCTTTGAAGTGGTAACTGCTAGAAGAGATATAAAAGGTATAGGTAACGTTTAAGACAAGAAAAATACAAAGCAGAAATGCTCCAGTACCAGTTAAAGATACATATTCCTATTTAATACATCTGAATTTTCTATCAGTAAATATGGAATAAGCAGTGTGTGAAAGACTTGATTCAAAACCACCGGATTGGATTGCAGATTTCCCCTCGAGGCTGGGTTGACATCAAAATTAGTTTTCCACTGTTTTGGCTCTTTGGAGCTCCACAACTCATTACCTGGTGGTCTGCGTGTGTTGTGAATGAGGATCTGAAATATTGCTTACATTACTTCACTAACACTGAGAGCCCCAGTCTCCAGCCCAGTCTTGCTCTCCCCACCACTGGTGGCAGTTTTGCCATCAATTCCTGTGGAATCGGGAATGAGCCTTTCAGAAACACAACTGGGACCAGTTGTGGACTCCCCAACCTGTACAAGCAGCTGCATTTCCCTGTGCAGTGCAAATAGGTGAAGCAGCTAAAAAAGCAGTGATAAAAGACTGATTATTTTAATATTCTTTGGGGAAAATACAGAGTTTTATAAAAGCAGGATCCACTCTCCCCTCTAACAGATTTTCCCACTACAGGTGTATGGATAGTACCTGTCAAACAACATGGATTTTTTGGCACAAATAAGAGTGGGTAAAATAAACTATGGATGTTGTTTCAACCTCCATAATATGTAGTCCTGCAGAGGAAAAAATCCTCAGAATAGACATAGTGCTAGCAAAATGTACAAGCTACTTCTCTGAGCCTGCTCCTGCTTCACTGCTAGGCTGCTGAACGGCCACTGCCTGTAATTCAACATACTCCATTCTCAAAAATGAAATACAAACAGACAGGCAGGAATTCACCTACAGTCACCAAATGCCTATACAGAGACCAGCTGCTAGTCTTCAATGTCATGTCTACAGTCCAGTTTAAGAAGAAACAAGAATTCTAATAAATAAAAGAATTTCTAGTGCTGTGAAGGTGACTGTAGCACAAAAATAATGACAAGATTGAAGATTTTTATCATCTTAACACAGCACTAATGAACTTCACATAAGTTAGTCCATGGTGTCCAGTCGATGGAGAAATGCAGATGCTTGCAACTTGATTTCAGAAATTTAAAACCTGTTTTTCAAATTTAAGACACTAATTTACAACGACTGCTCGTGCAGTGGTCAAGGGACTTGTTTTCCAGAAAATCTTGCTTACAGAGTTGTGGGAGATCAGCTGGTAATCTTTTAGAAAATCAGTGAATAGATATCACAGGCCTTGCTACCATAACCCAGACAACTGTCCCTAGCTTCACCAAGGACTCGGTTAGCACAGGGGCCGAACCATCTTTCCCCTCCAGTGCCATGCTGAGGCATTTGGCAAATTTGCACTGTGGCTGCTAAGTTTGTTTCTCCCACATGAAGCAGCAGAGGACTCTAGTGTCTCAGGAGTCTGATCCTCCTCCCAGACACTAAGTTCAGAAACGTAAGTAACTTTTTGTTGCAAACCAAATCCCAAGCTATGTAAATGATGCTATATTCACTTCTCTTGGTAACTTGAAGTTGCAGGCAAGGATGTTTTTCAGAGTGGATTAAAATACCATTGAAATAAAATTAAACATAAAATAATATAGAAAAGAGAATGCTTTTTCAGTCCTACAAAAACATCCATGATTGCTGTGTATTTTGCTGAACAGTTAGTGGTGCAGCCTAGATCCATCCCAAGCTGATACTTTCCAAGTGATGGAGACTTATCTTACACCCACAAATAAGAATAAGGATTCATCTGCTCGATTAAACACAAGAGAGAGAGAGGTTAATACTGGAGGCAAGGCAAGACTGCAGAGCACAAGAGTGACAGAGGTGATTTTTATGCCTACCCGAATCCCTCTGCCACATAATGTTACCTGAGAAACAGTCATGTTTTTTTAAACTGGCAACATTTTTGTATGTTAATTCCAAACCCATAAACAGGAGAAATCAATGGGTTTGATTTGCTCTAATATCTATGTTCAATGAATCCAGAAGAGGACTTTAGGCTGCCGTCCTTAAAACCGAAACTATCTGGCCTTGTATATCTGACAAATTGTGCTTATAAATTTCTTGTCTGGTAAGACTCCAATATTTTCCTCTAACTCCATGATTTTTTTTTGTTCCCATTTTAAAGCATTGATTAGAATAAAGAAAGATAAAACCCAAAAGATAAGGTAATTAAAGATGCCAGCACTGCTCAGGGTAGCAGATTGCAGATTTGTGTGAAAAAGAAATCTTTCTTACACAGAAAAAATGGATTAAATCTGTGCATACTAAACCCAGCAATATTAAAGATAAAGCAAATCTAAGACTGTCATGAGCAAAAATACTTTTAAAGGGAAATTCTTGGTATCGTTTCTGTTCTTTTAGCACACAGCAAATGCCCTGCAATATGTTAATTTCTTCATTCTGTTCCACTGCAAAATGTGCCTATTAAGGCCTTGAATTCTTATCAAATCAGACCACTGGAGAACCATGCTCCTCTGCAGAAGGCAAGCTAAAGCTATGTTATTGCCATCAAAGGACATTAGGTCTTCAGGCTGCCCCTTTGCCTTCCTTCAAGCTGCTTGCCCACTCCTCAGGTGACACCCATGACTTCCCTGGCCTGAGAGGGAACATGGGGTGCAATGCTGCAGTTGGCATTGGCCTTGCTATTCTTCAAAATGCCCTAAGACGACAGCAAAAGAGTTCAGGTAAATCCCTGCATTAAAAAGTAACTCTCCATTGTGCACTGTGTGTTTCTCATGTGCTCTCTGGGCAGAGTCTCCAAGCCTCCTTCTCCTCACCCCCCTGCCTGTGCGAACACCGCCAGCAGAGGCTTTCCTTGCAGAGGGACTGAAACAAAGGGTTTAAAGAATAAATTGCTATGCTAGAGTTGGAAAAAAAGTATTATGTGAAGTCCATGGGTTCAAATGCATTGACTAGAGCTGTACTAATATTTCTGCGACAGCCTATAAAAAAGAAACAGAAGCAAACAAAGTCTGGCTCTAATTCCCTACTACAATGCTTACGCCTAAGTATAGTATATGCCAATAAGCCACAGGCAGAGCTGAGTTTAAACTGGCGTGTGCCTCGGGTCACCAGTACCATAGCCAAAGACACAGGCACAGACTAGGTCTACAGACTCACACAGCATCATCCTCCCTCAGAGACCAACAAAATAATAATAATAATAATAAACATAATAAAGCTTCCTGTGCTTTATGATTGTTCTCTCTGGTAGTAGTAATAGTCATAGTAACAGTATTTTTACATTGCTGATGAGAATTGTAAGCAATCAACAAAGTAGCTGGGTCAAGAAGATGGATCCTGCCAGGGTTGGCATGGGCTGATGACAAGCTGAAAAACTGGCGAGTATGATTTGCATTAATCCCCATCCCCCTGCCCCATCCCCATCCCTGAACCCCCCGTTCAATGCCACCAAAATGAATGGTGATATGGTCAAGGTGTGGGGCTGAGGGCAGCCTGTGGGGAAGTGGCCAGCCATGAAGGAACACAATGCTGGGAATAAAGATCTGCCAATTGTTCTCAAGACAGAACTACCCACGCTTTAAACAGCTTTTAAAAAAATGTAAAAAACCAGCCCCGTTTCTCATCACGGGTATCCAGAACACCTCTAAACACACACAGAAATAGACAGGTGTTACTGAAAATTTTAACCAATGCTGAAGCTGCAAAACTGCTCTTTGTTGTAGTTGTTTGGATACAGAAGGGGCAATTTGCTGTAAATAAATATTAAAAAGTATTTTTCCTTAAATGCTTGAGATATTCTTTTTTTCCTCCAGTCTCAGTGGTATTCTGCTGTCACTTGCTCCTCCAGTTGTGCTGATCTTTTTACCATATGTGTGCTCAAGCGTCCAATGCAGAGCGCTCTCTCCCCACTCCAAGAGTCATCCCAGTCCTACCCTGGCCCAGCTTGTATCCCACCCCAGGCCCCGTCCCCACGGGCTTAAATAAGCCATTCCTTCTTGCTCTCGTCGATGGTCTCCGTGAAGTTGGGGTCATTGTTCATGATGGCAGCATCTGCACTCTCAGCTGACTCTGCTCCTTTGGCCTCGTTGGTGTGGTAGGTTCCCTTGTGGCGAAACATGTAGCGGATCAGGAACACCAAGGTGCAGAGGATGGTGAAGATCACCACTGCAATGACACCTACACAGAGAAGGAAAGAAAAGATGCCACTAGGGAGGAGAACACCTGATTTTGACACAAAGAAAGGATCCCACAACTCCTCTGAGCTGAGCCAAAACTACCTGGGCAGTTAAACATCACCACAGTGACTTGGTTTCCACTACTCTAATATTCGTACATAGTTTTCGCTATATACAAAATGTCACTGAGTGGAGTCTGCTAGTGACTTTCATCCCATAGGTCAACTTAAACATTAATGCCTACTTACAGTGGTAAGCTTTGCTGACCGTGAGGCAGAGGGTACCGAGTGCTCCCAGAACACAGGGGTGAAATGGTTACATGTCATGGCCTGGGCAGCTCTTTCTTCGAGGACGGAGTCACTGATGTATACTTTCCAGTCAATGGCCGTACAGATCTATGATGGCCATATAGATCTAACCTCAACATGTCCTTGAAAATTTGCTGGGCTCACTTTTGGCTCGCTCCACCCAGAAGGCACTGGCTCCACATAACTACAGATGTAACTGCTTTATCATCAGACCTATCCTTAATTGCTGCCCCTGCAATGCTCTATTTGGGGTTCAGCCCTGTTACGGAGAAGCCTCATGTATCTTACTTGCTTAGCCATAGGTAACTATGTGCTAAAAAAGCACTGTTCCTTTTTTGGCCCTTCTCTACAGGTATGCGGATCTTCCAGGATGAAGACATTATGAAATTCTCAGGTTAAAAATCAGCTAGAATTATGTTATGCCACTCTTGTTAACTGATGCGTTGGACAGCCAGGCTGTTCAGGTAAGGCCTGAATTTTTTGGAGGAATGCAATGCTATCATCATAGTATTGTAAGGTTTCAAACTGTTAAGGAAAAGTTTTAAGTAGTAATAAAAATTCAAACTAAAAAGGAAAAATAACATAGCAAATCAAAACTAAACCAACTAATTTTTAACCTGGATATGGAAATATAGACCCTTGAGGGGGGCAGGGAAAAGAAGCAAGAAATTCCATTAGACTGCATGTATTACTACACTAAGTGTTGCTTTGCATGACAAAACTCACCACCAGTATGTCACTTTATATGCATTTAGAACTGAGAGCTATTACGGTGATCTTTACTTTTTCTTTTTATATATGGCTTCAGAATTTGGTGGCAAATTTCTCCCATGAGAGTTATGGTGCAACACTTCCATACTATGGGACAGGGCAGAGAAAATTGCATGTGTGCGTAAAATTAATTGGCATCCTTATTTCTGGAGGCAGCTGGCCAGAATGCCTTCAATTGAATGCTAATTCCCAGTTCCAATTCTGGTATTACTTAACATCACCTATCACACTGAATGAGACTCTTCAGCACATAAATTATAGCAGAACTTGGGCTCTAAAAATCAAGGCAGGATCACAAGGGATTTTTGTTAAGAACAAACAGTGTTTGACATAGATGCATGTTGCATCTGCTGTAACAAGAAGTGTCCTTGCCATTTTGTATAAATGAATCACTCGGTTAACATAAGTAACTACTGCAAAGTAGCTCCCCACATGGATGCTTGCTGTGTGGATTATGAATATCAATATTTTGACGTGGTTAAAGCTGAATCTAAGGGGACAAACTAAGTGAGAACAAACCATTTCAGTAGTACGTCGTGCCTGAATGGACTTACACAAACTTCTGTTTAACTTTGTTCAGGTGTAGTTTTCCCACAGCTCTTAGCAAATAGCTTGAATATATTACCAATGACAATTCAGCCGTAACTGCCATACTGCAAAGTATCTTATAAAAGTAGACATTTTTCCTACCTCCAATAATGGCAGAATTTCTGTTAACGCCATCTCCTATAGCTTGACCGTTGTACGGGAAATCAGCACTGGCTGTAAGTAAGGAATTAAAAGATTCATTTTGCAATAGCAGTGAAACTTCACACAGTAGTTCAGAAATACATCCAACATCCTCAGATACAACTTAAAGAAAACTGTGAACCCTAGATATTTATCTGAAGAAGAAGAAAAGAAAAAATCTTTCACTATTATCTAATCCCTCAGAACTTCTTGCTTTCTCCTCGTAACAAAAATAAAAACAAAATAAAGGAGGTTACCAGTGGTAAGCATTGCTGTTGATACATTTTGATACCCTAACATAAATTCAGTAAGTTTCTTTAGCACAAACTCAAACAAAAACCTTTCTTTCAAACCTGAGTGATCGTACATATTATTATGGAGATTTTTGCCTTTGTCACTGCTACCCATAAAATGCTTCAGAAGTTTCCAGGATTTAGGGACCCCCATTGGGTACAACTGCAAGCTCTTTGAAAGAAAAACTCCCATCCCTTTTGCTGCTGCACAGCCTAAGCGAGGGGCTGCATTTTCTGTTGGTCAGAGCCATAGACCCGTTATCCAAAGGAGCACATGCTTTGCTACTCTAGGAGAAAGCCCAATGCGGCAACTTAGCCGCTGCTGCAGGTGCTTTGGAAGCAAGATGCAAGATGGTGAGTTTGAGGAGCTGAGGAATGGCAGGCAGGAGAGCCCGTGGGAGAGGAGAGCCTCCAGCGGACAGGTGAGGAGAGGAAACACAGCCAGATGTACCAGCGCTCACCTGCCAGCAACCTAAAAAGGAGAGACTCCCTGCGGCAGAGCTGGATGAAGGAATCAGTGCAGTTTTAAAGTAGAATTTGAATGGTCATCTTCATTTTAACCTCCACAAAACATCATCGAGGCTTTTCAAAGGCAATTTCATCAATTAAACCCATCATAAACATTTTCGTTATAGTCAGACATAACAACTAGACACTGCAGAGACTAAGCAAGCCCAGGGAGCTAGGTCAGTGGTTGCAATTGTTCCCTTCTTTGCCACTGGACTATGGCATTCATTTTGAAATAGAGAAAATGTTGTTAGAAGCACTTAACTGGAGACAGTTAAAATAATCAAAGATATTAATTACTTCTTAGGGCAGTATTTAAAACCCAGCTTTATTTTCCTTGCTTGATGTATTAGGTGATAACTGTATTAATCAGTTGCCTTTACAGGCCCGTGATGCATTCACTACACTCAAAAATTGGCTAAGGGAAGTCAACTTGCTTTCTGTTAGCATGGAGTAAAATCCATAATAAAGTTCCTTTTGTATTGTGAAGCAGCTGCACAAAAGAATGAATGGCTTCAGCTTGCCACGTGGCCTGAGAAGAGGATTGGGGCTAGAGTAGCCTTCTGTGTGCCTACTCTGAGGGAGAGTCGAACCAGCTGTGTGTTAAGCAGATAGCTTTTGGCTGGTCGCCGCTGGGACAAACAAGAGAGCGTTTCTCAGGGCTCAGCGGAAGGGGCCTGGCCAGCAGTTTTTGCCAGCAGCACTTGTGCCTTTGACATTTGTTGGTGCTCTGGCTTCTGAAAACAGCATTTCTGCACCTCTCTGAAACAAACCAGGCTAAAAAATGTAAAAGTTAAATAAATACCTGATTCCGTATCAGTGGATTTTGCTCCAAAGAAGAACCTTACTGTGCAGGGCCATGAAAGTTTCCTTCAGAGCCATTTTGGCACAGGGTCCCTAATATGATCCTTGCAGCGCTGAAAGGGAAGGGCCGGCAGTGGGAAAATAAACCCTAACTTTAAACCTGCCCTCCCTGCACCTCAAGGAAAAACCTAAAGCCAAATAACACTGTGTAGAAAAGCATCAATTTGCCAAATTGCAAGGAAATTACTCTCTGCCATTCTAACCCAAAAGGAGGCCCCTTGCCATGGGAGCAACACCGCAGGCAGTTAACAAGCCCTATCACTTGCCACTTGGTTTGCAGTTGCTGTCCTGTGTCCCCACATAAGAAATCTTAAAAGCAGCAATGGTCACAGTTCCCCCTTTCCTTACAGCCGAATAGTATATTTAACATGTTGTTCCAAGGACCACGGCACTAGTGAAGTGTGAAGAAAGAGGAAGGCTATTCATGGCAGCATGATCCCTCCCCAGCTGCCACACCACAACAGCTATGCTAACAAGGGATTCCTGGCAGATGGAAGACCACAGCTGATGATGTTCAACAGCCACCCAAGTACACGGCAGGATAATGAAGAACATGAGGCATGATGTGAAACTACGTCCTTAATCTTGTCTGAGAGCTGCCTCTAGGACTGGCCCTGATGCCTCTGTCAAGGCTGCTTTCCACTGCATTTAGTCATCATACACACTCAGGAAGAGTTGTCCATTGGATCAACAAGCAGACGTGACTCACTCTGAGACTCTCATTTCTGACAAAGAGGAAATTGGAATGTGTGTCTGGGGGCAAGGGACAACCTATTTCAACAAGAGCTCACCATCAGATTGGATTGCACATAGCATAAATCGTGCCCTGCTGCAACTTATGCTACATACAATCTTACAGTTCAGGAGCGCTGTAGTAAAAAAACGCACCTAGACGCCCATGAATCTTTTTTAAAAACACCTACAGCAGTGTTGGCAGATGTTATCACCATAATTCATGAATTCTTGTTCTATTACTCTTGTATCAGCAGGAGACCTGCTTTTATATTATGGGGTTTTTTTGGAGTGAAAAATTCTATCTAAAATCTTAGCTAAATGTGGGGTTATAGAATACCTTGTGCTGCAGAAGTGTCTATACTAGTTTTTTACTGAATATATTACTACAGATGGATAGAGGAGGAAGAAAGTAGCTCATTACTATCTTCTTCTTTAGGTGGAAGTTTCCTTGAAATTCTTCTGGACAGCAGTAGCTTCTCAAATGATCAGAAACAGCTACAGACCAGGGGTCTAAGAACTGCAAAGGGGTAACTCCTGCCACAGCGGTAAGGCAGAAGAGAACGTAGGAGGGCACATCCCTTGACCCTCCAAGGTGAGCTTCACAACAGAGTACTGTCACCAACATGTACCAAGTGCAGCTATTTCACATAGCAGTTATGTCATCCAAACACATGGTGACTCGTGTCTGACCTTACTACGGTCACATTCCTTGGCAATAGTAAGCAATTTTGTCAAGAAGACAACTAACGAGATTCCTCCATCACTGCTGAAATTCAAGAACTAAACAAGGAAAGAATGTGTTAGAGCAGGTTGACAAAGGGGCAACAGTAATACCGATGCTCTGATAAAAGCACAGATGACTAGAGAGTGCCATTCACAGGTTGTAAACAGGAACTCCTAAAATATTTTAAAATGACTGGTCAGATAAAATTAATATTGTTAATGGTGACTCTCATGTTTCATGGGAATCTAAATCACAGTGGTATAATAACTAGCTCGCATGGCTATAATATGCAGATGAAGTACAGGGTGCATTGCTAATGAACGAGTGTGCGCCTTCATTTCTGTCACAGCTGGGAACACCTCTTTTCTGTTCAGATTCTTCCATTATCACTGTGACATTAATTCTAACTACATGTCTCAGCAAGCCCTTTTGCACTGCCTGATACTTGCACCTCGACAGCTTCAAATCACGACTTGCCCACAGCAAATCGGTGCCACAGAGCTGCAGTTACTCTATGTAGTTACCCTGCAAAGCCCATGTGGACAGCAAGTAGGTTGTGAATGTAATGTAAGGTGGGCAGGAGGAGGGTACTGCAGGAGTTTTGGTCTACATACTGTGCTACCTAATTGTTAGCTGAGGCCATGAATAGGGCTATTCAGTTTCCCTTTATTACCTGGTCTACAAAGGTTGCTTTTGAACAGCTAATTCCCATCTGGTTTGGGGACTGTATTAGAAAGTTTCCTTACCTTAGGAGATTTTTCTGAATCTTCCCTAGGTTTCAGAGCAAAGAGATTTTTAATCTAAACAGTTACATATTGGCCCAAGAGACATGCTGTCAGTTCCCTGAAATCCTCTGCTCATGCAGCTGTGGCACAGAGCCATCAGTTTGCTGTCAGGACACACCAAAGGCATTTTCCTAAAACCTACAGCTAGTGTAGGGACGGATTGAACTGTACCAGGAAATGCTAAGCTCATCTGTGGCTTATGAACATCACTTCATCTGGTTCCCGTCCAGAATCCAAGCTGGGTGATGCTGTTCTTTGCATCCTGTCTTCCCACAGCAGACCATCAGGTTTACTTCAAACACCGTCATCCTGAAGCTCACTTACGTGAAATGACACAGCATACTTTGCTGTCTCTTTCTTTCATGGGCTGCTGTTTATGAGGCCATAGTTTCAATAACCATCTACGGAGTCTACACCTTCTGCACTCTTCAACTTTTTGTTATTAGACTCAGGATAAATGGGGTTAAAGGAACTTTGCAGCACCTAAAAGGGTGATCACAGATTGACTGCAGGCAAAATCCATGTTTTGGCCATCATTTTAATGACATTTGAAATTTTAGATGACCACAAAAATGCAGTAGGAGATCTGCGGTCATCTGGCACACTCAGCATGGTCATTGCCACAGCCAGCTGCAATACAGCAGCACTCACTGAATGGAAAGGGGAGACGGGACTGGATAAACAGACCATAATTAGGATTAGATGTTAAAGATGACAGATGTGGTTGATTTAAGAGAATGAATGATAATTTTGCTTCATTATAGTAGGCGTGATTTTGCATTTGCCATTTTCAGAGGGAGAATTTTCACAATGGATCCCACATAAAAGCCTTTTGCAAATTCACAAAATTGAAATGCAAAATGACCCTGTTAAAGTAGAAAAGTGGTCCAGAAAGTGGGTGTGGGAAGAGAAATGAGCAAAAGGTGATTCAGTAAAGGCAAAGGGAAAACCAAAACCAAACAGGGAGACTTTTCAGCTAGAAAGCAGTACTGGGAAGTACAAAGTAAAAGGCAAATCTAATTTTGAAATACCCTACCAGGAGTGTTACATATAAGCCATTGGAAGCAATTTTTTTAACTGATCTTTTTTACTGAGTAGGCAAGTCTTAGTTAAAATACACCATGC